CACACACACACACACACACACACACACACACACACATACACAGTGGTTCCACATGAATTTTAGGACTGTTTTTTCTAGACCTGTGAAGAACATCATTTTATTTTAGGTCACTTTAGATAGTATGGGCATTTTAACAATATTGATTCTTCCAATTCACCATCACAGGGTATCTTTCCATTTTTCATTTCTCTTCGATTTCTTTCATAGATGTTTTATTGCTTTCTTTATAAAGATCCATCACCTTTTTGGTTAAATTTATCTTCAGGCACTTTACTTTTTTAGCAGTTATTATAAATGGATTGCCTTCTTGATGTCTATTTCAGATCACTGACTCTCAGCATACAGCCGTACTACTGATTGTTGAACATTGATTTTATATCCTTCTACTTTGCTCAATTTATTTACAACTATTAATTCTAATAGTTTTTGATGGAATCTTTGGGGTTTTCTATATATAAGATTTGTCGTCTGCAAGCAGTGACAATCTGACTTCCTCTTTTCTAATTCCGATGCCTGTATTTTCTTACCTGATTGCTCTGGCTAGAACTTCAACAGTAGTGGTGAAAGTGGGCATCCTTGTAAGGTTCCAGATCTAGATAGCTTTCAGATCTTCCCTGCTCAATAGGACAGTAGCTGTTGACTTATTATTATGTGTGGCCTTTGCTCTGTTAAGGAGCACTCCTTCTATACCTTATGTGCTCAGAATTTTTATCATGAAGGGGTTCTAGATTTTATCCAAGGTCTTTCCTGCATCTGGGAGATGATCATAAGGGTTTTGTTCTCCTTCGGTCAATGTGCCTGTCATGTTTGTTCATGTGCATATGTCAAACCATCCTTGCATTCCTGGGATGAATCCCATTTGACAATGTGCTGCAGGATCCAGTTTCTTTGTATTTTTTTTTTTTGAGGTTTTCTGCAGGTATATTCATCAAGGATATTGGCCTGTAACTTTCCTTCTTTGTTGTGTCCTTGCCAGGTTTTTATCGAGGTAATGTTGGTGTTGTAGAATGAGTTTGGGAATATTCCCTGCTCTTCATTTTTTTGGAATTTTTTTTTAAATTGACATTAGTTCTACTTCGAATTCCCATTCCACCGCAACAGCGGGGTGGTTGGTATGCAGAACTGCAGCTCTGACATCTCACAAGAGAAGAGGTTGGTAAGCTGGAGACTGGTCTCTGGCCCACAATGTAAAGATGAAGCCTAGGAAGTATTGAAGACAGTTAAGCAGAAACCCTGTCACTTACCAGAAGTTAAGAAGAAACTGTTACTTACAGACAGTGGACTTTTTTGATTTTTAAGGAAGTATTAGTCCAGGGAAAGTAGAACTATTGAGCTTCTGTTAATCTAATTTAGTGTCTGCTCCTGGGTGACCTGGCTGTTCCTCAGTTTGGCTCTCATGAGTCGTGGGCATGCATGGATCACTGTAGTAAGATGACTTTAACTCTCCAGAGTAAATATCAGTTTCTAAACACGGCGGGAGGAGTCTCTGTGAGGTGAGTGGGCTGGAAGCTGCCAGATCACCATGGTTGATTGTTCATGATGGTTTTTTAAATAAAGGCACACAGAGAGCTCTTTCCATAGACTGGAGTGAGTGAGAAGTCCAACACAATCTGTGGAGGTTCCATTGTTTATCTTTCAGAATTTGAGAGTGCCTTGGTGTCACTCCCTTTTGGACTAGCTACTCCTCAAAGTGCTTTGAAAATATCATCTTATATCTGTCATCTGCTTGTCTATCTACCCTCCATCTATCATTCATTGAAAACTTACAGGAAGCTTATCTATTGTGGATGCATACTTCTGTAATGTTCTACCATAACCTAGCCCAGAGATTTCTAATTTTCTGTTATCTAAGATTGACTTTGAAAGACTCAACATATGATAATTCTGGTTTACAAAATAAATATGAATGTGATTATTCACTTTTCAAAATGAATCTTTGCTTAATGGAGAATATTTTATCTCCCGTCTATTCAGGAAACTTCCCCAATAGACTAAGATATAAACCGATTCATACACATTGCATTGATTCTGGATTTCAAAGTGTACATCCTCATAGAATAGAAAGGAGGCCTGATTTCACTACTGAAATTTCTAAACCCATTGTTTTAGCCAGTTTTTTTTTTTTTTGCTGCTGTGATCAAAAGACCTGATAAGAACAATTAGAGGAAAAGTTTATTTGGGGCTCATAGCTTCAGAGGTCTCAGTCCATAGACAGCAGGCTCCATTCCTCAGGACTTAAGGTGAGGCAGAACATCCTGGCAGAAGTGTCCTGGAGGGAAGAGCCTCAAGACATGGTGATCAGGAAGCAGAGACAGACTCTAGTCACCAGATACAGAATACATACCTCAAGGGCACGTCCCCAGAGCCCACCTCCTCCAGCCACTCCCCACCTGCCTTCAGTTACCACTCAGTCCCATCAAGGATTGATTCACTAATTGGGTTAAGGTGCTCATAACCCATTCATTTCAGCTCTACACCTTTTTGCATTGTCTCACACATGAGCTTTGGGGGATGCCCCCCATCCAAACCACAGCACCCATTTAGCAAGAAAACATCCCAGCAGGTGCTTTTTCTGCCTTTCTTTCTGCCTTCCCAGTTTTTTATATCAAAATAAGTGTATTTTTCAATAAAGCATTTATAAAGTCATCTTTGTTTAGTTATATTGAGAAAGGGTGTTTAGATTCCTGTATAAATGACAAAGAACAATCATTTATTGGTTTATTTTCATATCTACTATACACATCAGTCAATCATCATTCTTTTCTTTATTGACCTTTCATGACTCATCTTTGACTTTAAGGTGATGTTGGTATGACCTTGCTCAAAACAAACATTTTTCAGGTTTGCAAGATGGTTCTTGGGGTCACAGGTCTCCCCCAAATAGGAGCACACTTGTCAAATGGTCCCCTCCTAGAGCCCCAGGGACAGGGAGCTTTGCCTGATCTCCAATATTAGAAGGAACTAGCTTTAGGATTAGCTTTGCCTTTCTAGAGGCAACCACCAAACTGTCCCTCAGCAAAAGTTCTCTCTAGACCCTCTGTGTGGTTGTTCTCTCTGTTATTGTGAATCCAGCACCCTGGGTTTCCAAGGATACCACGAAGCTTCCATGGGAATCCAATGGGAGCTTTCTTGGTCTCACAAGTGGCAGAGCTGTCTGTGTCATGCCTGTCTGTCTTTGCCAGCTTCCCCATTCCATGTGTACTGACGTGTGTCTTCCCGGAACACGGAAAGGGATTCGACAGGGGGAGCCCATATGCTGCTTTGAGTGCATCCCTTGTGCTGACGGATACGTGTCGGAGAAAGCAGGTACCACAGTCACTTTCTCATGGATGTCAAAAAGTGTTACATTAACTGTGCTGGCAAAGAGTTTCCTTGGAAACTTTTATAAGTAGATGTGAACAATTTGTAATAAAAATCATTAAAACCCATCAGATCATTTTCCGTTCTGTGCAGAATGAAACAGAATAGAACAATAACACTGGGTTTTGGTTCTGAAGCTGCTACAGTGGGGAAAAGACACATAACTGAGAAGTTAATAAGGAAAATTCAAAACAAAAGATGTGAAATGTGCAATATGAATAATTAAATTCATAAGAAGTCTTTAAACTCGTTTATGAGATAGGTTAAATCAGAAAAAAGATTAGTTACAGTTCTACATTCTACTTAGTTTTCTGTAATTTGGAACCATGAGATCTAGAAGTCCATGGGTTTGCTCGGTGTGATGGTGCACACCTGTAATCCCAGAGGCTGAGGCTGAGGCTGGGGCAGTGGGATAGCAAGTTCAAAGCCAGCCTCAGCAAAAGCGAGGTGCTAAGCAACTCAGAAGTGAGGTGCTAAGTGACTCAGTGAGACCCTGTCTCTAAATATAATACAAAAAAAGGCTGGGGATGTGGCTCAGTGATTGAGTGCCTGAGTTCAATCCTGGGTATCAAAAAAAAAAAAAAAAAGACAATAGGCTTAAGGTTGTAGTACTTCAAGTGTGGACTCTGTAATCATCACTGCATGCACTCCTCATTTCAGCACTAAAAATGCTAGCTTTTAAACTAACCGAGTCCTCGTCGCACTCCTCTTGATTGTTTCACCGCAGTAGTCAATTTTCCTCTCATGGATTGTTCTTAGCTCATAAGGATACATACCTCCTTTCTCAATAGACCATTGGAGAAAAAAGAAAGGGACCTGGTACCTGACGAGACTAATGGGACAGGTTGACATTGAGAAGGGGGACTAAATTTTTAAAATTAAAACTCACTCCCCGTCTGTGATAATAGCACACTCTGAAGACTTGTTATCACGACTTCTTTGAGAGGTCATGAACATTCCTCAGAAGGGATTTTCAGTGCATCCTTGCTGCAGGCCCATGGCTGCTCTGGGCTCCTCCCAGGGACGGGGCCACTGGCCTTTCCTGCAGTCCACCTTTGTCCTTTGCTCCGTAGGTCAACGGGAGTGTGAGCCATGCAGTGAAGACTACTGGTCCAACGTGCAGAAGAGCCAGTGTGTGCTCAAGGAGGTGGAGTTCCTCGCCTACGACGATGCCTTGGGCCTCACCCTTGCCGTCCTCGCCGTCTTTGGGGCCCTGGTGGCCTTGGCGGTCATGGTGGTGTATGTGGTGCACAGGCGCACGCCCCTGGTCCGGGCCAATGGCTGGGAGCTGAGCCTCCTCATGCAGGCTTCCCTGGCCACCACGGCGCTGTCGTCCATGCTCTTCATTGGCAAGCCGTGTACCTGGTCCTGCATGGCCTGCCAAGTCACGCTGGCCCTGGGCTTTTCCCTTTGCCTGTCTTGCACTCTTGGAAAGACTCTCTCTCTCTTTTTTGCCTACAGAATCTCCAGATCCAAAACCCGACTCATATCCATGCACCCCATTTGTCCAAAGATCATTGTGTTGCTCTCTGTTCTGGTGGAGATCGGCATATGCACCACCTACTTGGTATTTAAACCCCCAAAGGTGTACAAGAACATGGAATCCCAAAACATAAAGATCATTCTGGAATGCGATGAAGGCTCTCTGGAATTTCTGTGCTTCACGTTTGGGGTCGATGCCTTCCTGGCCTTGCTGTGCTTCCTCACGGCCTTTGTGGCTCGGCGGTTGCCAGATAATTACTATGAGGGGAAGTGCATCACCTTCGGGATGCTGGTCTTTTTTATTGTCTGGATTTCTTTTGTCCCTGCTTACTTGAGCACCAAAGGCAAGTTCAAGGTGGCTGTGGAGATATTTGCGATTTTGGCATCTAGCTACGGCTTGTTGGGTTGCATGTTTGCTCCCAAGTGCTTCATTATTCTGCTGAGGCCAGAGAGGAACACAGATGAGGTCGTAGGAGGGAGAGTCCCCACTGTAGATAGGAGCATCCAGCTGACCTCAGCTTCAGTGAGCAGTGAGCTGAACAACACCACAGTATCCACCGTTCTGGACCACTAGGGCTGAAGCTCCGTGTGCCGCTCAGGGCGACCATGGTGACATTACCTTTCGGGTGGCTCCTGCAGCAGCTGCCTGACGGCTCTGGATCTTGCTGTGGATTTGGGCTCTGGTGGTGTATCTTAGCAAGGTGTGTGGAGGCTCATTCTTTAAAACACTAGCAAGGATTAGGATGCCCTTTGTTATTGAAATTGTAACTATTTCATTCAGACCTTTCATAATACTTAGGTTTAGGAGTGCATAGGAGAGGAGCTGAAAGGCACAAATGATAAAGAAAAACATTGGTTCTGGAATACTTCTTTGTTTTCAAACCATGAGTATCCCATCTAGACTTCTACATTAAACAAAGTCACTGGGTGAGGACCCAGAGAGACTTCTCCATATCCTGCTACTGTCTTTCCAGAACAGACAGCTTTTCTCTATCTCCTTTGCTCCTTTGGAGCAGGGGGTTTGGATTATTCATGTTTCAAAGGACTCTGGCATATAGAGAATATTGAAGGACTCGATGTCAACAAAACGTGTCCTTCTTGAAACAATAATAGGAATAGACAAGTTTCTCCCAGAGGGCAGGCAAGGCACCTGCTCAGACGCTCCTGGAGGAGAGCAGGTGGTGGAGTATGAGTTTCAAAGTAGCCCTCTGCTCGAAATTCGAAAGCCAAGGGGTTTAGGGTTCAGCACAGCACTTAAGGAGATGAGAGAGTGAGGACCTGGACAGCAGAAAGGAGAAGAGAAAAAAGCAAATCTTTACCTAGAGCAGGTATTAGAACTTGAAGTGTTTTTTTTTTTTTTTGATAAATTGAATGACAGGTATTTGTCCTCTGATTATGCAAGTTAACTGGAATTTAATCCCAATGTTAAAATATCATAAAATGTCATCAATCTTTGAGATATGGATTCTGAAAATGACCCATATGCCTTTGGAGGTATATAAATTGAATGTGAGGAAATACAGAATCTGTAGAAATGCTGAGAAGCCAAAAGTGCATGTGTGTGTGTGACTCTAGGAATCTAACAGATTAGAAAGTGCTCTCTCTTCAGGAGGACCTAGTTAGTGCTTGTGGATCTCAACGAAACTGGGCAGACTCATGCAGGCTTGGGGGCCCAAGTAGAACCCCAATGACGGGCTTAGCAGGACAAGTCTGTCAGGGACCTATTACTGATTTTTAAAGAAAGATTATTGCAGACCAAACCAAGGGGATGCACTTCCTAGGATTTTAGTAGAAAACATATTGAGGTTCAGCAAACTCAAAAGAGATCACATTTGTTGGTGGTCCAGTGACACCCCAAGGTTTCCTGGGCCAGCATCCACTCACCCACCTGCCTCCCAGCTGTTGGACAGTGCTTCACCCCAAAGCCCTCAGAGTCATGAGAAGAATCCACATCAGAATCAAGAGCAGGGGCGTGGCTTTCTTTGCTGTCCATCCTTCCATCCACCCATTCATTTCAGAAAAGAGAGATTTTTCAAAGTATAGAGCAATAGAAAGATGAATGTCTGTGAGCCCATGTCTTTCTCAGTAATGCACATAGTGTCAGCAATCTCAACGACCCATCTTGACAGTTAAAAAACAGGCTGGAAGATGGCTTATGTTTAGTCACTCTGTCTATTTCATGTTCAAAATGCTTTAGTCTTGATGTAATCCATTTCTTCTCTGAGAAGTCGATTATTGAACATATGGTCTCTAATAAGACATCTCATAGAGGTCCATCTGGGTGACAATGAATACTCCATCATCTCCTTTCATACCATAGTGCTCAGTTACACTGTCTCATCAGGCTGTGTTCTGTGCAAATGTGTTTTTCTTTTCTTTTTTTTTCTGATCAGCAGGAGGTTTGGGAAATGAGAGAAAATAAATATTATAAGAAACAAAGCATCAATTGAACTTGCATGTTTAATGATAACGTGTGCTCATTCAACTTTGCGACTTTAAGGTACGACTGTTTATCTAAAACAGTGCGAACCTATCACTAGTTGATTTGGTACACATAAATTGTTAGAGAAACTGGCCTATGGCAGTTGAAATAAATAAAATATGATTGTCAAAAATGATAGTCTGATTGTTGTATTTATTCCTTCTAATTACTTATCAAGTATTAAATATTTCTCATAACACTGGAAGATATTTTCTCTTTAGGATAAATGTGTCATTTCTGTGTGTGTGGGGGGGAAATGCCTGAAATCTCTGTTCACATGCTGCTTTGTAAAAGAATCCCATCTAGAAGTTGCTGGTGACATTCCCTGCTGTGGTGAGCACTTGCTGGTAACTCCTGCTGGGCCTTGGGGAGCAGCTTAGAATTAATTTCAGCATGCTGTATCAAAATTATGTGGGTGCTGTCTTGAGCAGTAGCATAAAGATTATTTGTTTGAAACAAACAAACAAAATGGCAAAACAATACTTTACCCAGGGCTGACCTACACATCTGTAAGACTGAACTCTTTGGATAAAAGAGATGTTTATGCTATGGACTGCTCAAACCACACCGTAAGATTAATTCCTTGCATTAAGGCAAAGAAAATTCCTCATAGGAAGCGAATATATTATTAAAAAGGAGTGAAGTATTCCAACGGCCAGATTAATCTTCTTAAAACAGAGCTCTGACCTCATCTCTTCCTGCTCGTCAGCTCCCAGTGGCTCTCTGCTGCCTTAGCTTGTCAGGAAGACCCTCCAAACTGTTGTCACCTTCTATTTTCAAGAGTTGTCACTGGTTACCTCCCTGCCAGTGTCCTTAACCCAACCCAGTTGCACTTCTGCAGTTTCTGGAACCCACTTCTTATTTTCTGAATCCCAGTTGTTCATCTATTCCCTTTTCCCTTTAATAGTACTCCATCTTTCCATCCATCCATCCATCCATCCATCCATCCATCCATCCATCCATCCATCCATCTATCTGTCCATCCATCCTCGAGGGCTTCATGTGCACTGGACTCAGTGTTAGGTGAAGAAGGTATACAGAGACGAAGCATTGTCCCCAACTCTAGGTGTGTACTGTCTTTTGGGGGGACAGGTAATAAACCAAAAATCATTCTAGGACACCATAAAGCTGTGGTTGTGCTAGCACTGATGAGAGGCAGGGTGAGTCAGGTCAAGGAAGGCTTCCCGGGCAAGGGGACACAGGAGCAAGTTCCTGAAGGACAAGAAGGAACTAGTCACACGAAAGAAAGTCACACTCTAAGAGAGTGGGGGCGCCGCTGGAGCATGAGGGGCTTCAGCTGGGGAAGGGGACAGAGTGGGACTGAGGAGAAGGTGAGTTGCAATGGCAGCAGTAAGTCCTGAGGAGGATTTGTCTATGTATTCATCTGACTATTTACCCTCGGTGTTTTCTCTTCCATTTGTTTGCTCTGTGGGTGTGTGTGCGTGTGGTGTTGGGGATCCGGTAGAGGGCTTCATGCATGCTGAACACATGCTCTATTGTGAGCCACACCCTCAACCTAGTTTTGCATTTTTGAAGAAGAATGAAGTACTTTTTGTCCTTACCCCACCCCATCTCACATTTCCTTTGAGCTGCCATTGAAGTCAATAGCGGTTGTTTGGATCATTTACAGAGGGAGTAAGTACTTATCATCTCAAGGTGGAATTATTAACAGTGTATGTAAAAATCTTTGTGAGACCCACCTATTTACATTTTTAGAGGTGTTTTTGTTTTATTTTATTTTTACTTTCCCTGATGTTTTTTAAAAACCAATTTGAATAAAAAAGACTTTAGGTGAAAATCTGATCAGACTGGACATGTCCACATAGGTTGACTGCAGGAACCACCATCCCCAAGTCCTAGAGCTTTGCAGATCAGCTGTCCACACACCCTGGACTCAGGTGGCTGCTCCTGGCCAGCTGAGCCCCTGCAGGATGCTCCTCCACTTGCCTGTTCTCTGCCTTCCCCATCGGCCCTGGTCTCTAAGTCTTGTGCCCTATGGATTCCTCACCTATGGCTTCTGCTGGGTTTTGCCAGTGGGAGGCTCCAATGGATGGCCAGAGGTGAAGCCAGGGCCTTCGCTGTTCAACAGCTCACTTGTCTCCTCTCGTTCATCTACTCATCAACTACTCTGTGCTACTGAAAGAGAGCTTTTGTCTTTGGTGTTCATCTAGCCAGCTAAACACACGAGAGAATCAAGTCAAATGAGCCAGCTGGGCGCAGTGGTGCACGCCTGCGATCCCAGTGGCTCAGAGGATCGTGAGTTCAAAGCCAGCCTCAGCAATAGTGAGGTGCTAAGCAACTCAGTGAGACCCTGTCTCTAAATAAAATACAAACTAGGGCTGAGGATGTGGCTCAGTGATTGAGTGCCCCTGACTTCATTCCCCTGTGTCGCCATCTATCCTTGCTGGCAAATTAACGTTGGATTCACAAAATCTGACTGTTCCAATAACTCAATAAAATGACAAAAAAAGCACACAACCACACAGAATAATAATTTAAATAATTATTATTTATATAATATATAATAATAATAATGAATTTTTCAATAATCCAGAGATGGCTCTGTGACCTTAAGGGTCCTTGGAAAGAGAGGGAGCCACCAGAATTCTTTATTCTTATATAGGGAACACATAAGGGGAGGTTCCATGGAACATTCTATCCCAAAAAGGGCAAAGGGGTAGGATTACAAAGGAACAGATGAGTGTAGCCCAACCCCTCTGGGTGTCACTTGCTCCTAGGGCCATGCTTTGTTATCTGAGTGAGGGAAAAGTCCAAGTCATGAGGCACTACTGCGCCAGACTACAGTGATCTTTCAGATCCCAGTGGTGCATCAGGATTTAAAGGTGCATGCTTTTGGAGTGGCTCCCCACATCCCTGTACCCCTCAACTGAAAAAAATCAAATTGACCCAAAATAGAGGTGTCCAAAGAAAGTTTCAAATGACAACCACAAAAAATAAACATAAGGAAGGGCTGGGGTTGTGGCTCAGTGGCAGGGTGCTTGCCTCACACATATGAGGTACTGGGTTCAATCCTCAGCACCACATACAAATAAATAAAGGTATTGTGTCCATCTACAACTAAAAAATTAAAAAAAAAATAAGCACAAGGAGCCTTGGAAGAAGACTTTTGCAAGATGGCAGCTGCTGCTCCCTTTGGGAGTTGTCAGACCTCCCTGGGCACCCCTGCCCCAATAGAGTAACCAGGAGAGCACAGGAAAAACCCTGAGGAGAGCGTCTTCAACAAAACCCGGTGACAGGGGGTCCACATGTCCACCAAAACACTTCCCCCAGTAAGGACGACCAAGACACAGTGATTTACTTCCATGTCTTAGTTTTAGACATTTAGGATTTAGAGGATTAAAACAGAAACAACAGAAGCAAATTGACTGAAAGCAAAGGTTTGGGATCAATACTGCTCTTTCTTGCTGTGTAATTCCGAGGTTACCTTACTTCTCTGAGCAGGAAGTTTGGCACATACTCAACATTCAGTAATTGGCAGCTGGTTAGGCTACTTATTGTAACAGAGAGAATTTAACAGAGGCTCACTAACATGATCTCTAGCTAGTTGCCTCCCACATCCACGTATCCCCTGGGAATCTTAAACTCCAGTGGGGGCAGCGAGCTCTCCTCTATTTCTTCAGTCCCTTAAGTTAGAAATCTGGGAAGCAGCATCATTTCCTTTTCATTCCCAGCACCACCTGTCCCGTGCACGCTGTGGCAGTGGATGATCCGCCAGTCCCCTTCAGTTCCCAGCCCTGTGTGGCTCTCAGTCCAGGGGGTCCTCCTTACTCAGGGCGCAGCAGCCCAGCCTGCCCCACTCCCGTCGCCTGCTCCTCT